TCAGTATTCCGTGGCATCCTCCTCCCTCCCTCCCTCTCTCCCTCCCTCCCTCACATGTCAACCGCCACTCACCGATCTCGTTATCGTCAAAGGAGGCTCCCATGAATCTGAGCCCGTGCTCTGAGTACAACTTGAACCCTCCTCCTGATATCGCCGAGCAGGTCCCGCACAAGTTGTCTGTGACCCCCAAGTTCTTGCATGTCTGATCAAGAGGGTTGCAGAACCCCTTGGGCCAGGGCCCAGGCCCAGGCGTGTAAGGAGTCTCTGGAGGCCACACGCCAAACTGTCCGGCCTTGCCTGCAGTATCGGACGGAGCCGCTGCCGAGACACTTCTGACACGCCTCTCTGCCCCTCTGGTGTCCGGCCCGCTGTACGTGAAATCCTGGTACACTCCTCCGTAGTTCTGGAATCCCACCAGCACCACGTCGTGGTCCCCAGCTTGAAGGTTGATGGAACCGCAAACTTTGTCCGCTCCGTGGAGCCCGTCGTTGTTGACGACCAGGTCACTGCCATAGTAGACCAGCGAGCCATCGTCAGAAGTAGAGCAGAAGCTGTAGATGCCTGAAATCATTATACGCACTTTTCCGTACACCTGCCATGCGTACTTAGCCTCGGGCGTGTTCGGGATCCAATTTCTCAGCTCTCCAAGGGTGCTGAACGCAATGAAGGAAATCTTGGCCTCGCCGACGAACTTCATGTGCGAGACATCTGGAACAAGCTCGAAGGGTTCGTAGTTGGTGGAGTACATCCGCATGGTCCACTCGGAGGGAGGAGGAAGGGAGGGGGCAGCCGTCGGCAAGCTGACCATGTGCCGGTACTGGTCCCCAGTGTCCGGGCCGGAGTAGGACGCGCTCTGATAAGCCTCTCCCCAATGGTTGAAGCCTTCAACGCGAACCTGGTGATCTCCTGGGTCCATCTTGATACTTGCACACTTCCTGTCGGCCCCGTGCAAGCCATCGTTGTTGACGATGAGGTTGTCATCGACGAAGAGGTATGAGCCGTCATCAGAGGTCGAGCAGAAAGAGTAGATGCCAGGAGCGTTGATCTTGACGGTTCCGTAGTACACCCACACAAAGTTGTTGTCTGGCATGCCAGGAATCATCCTCACAAACTCTCCGTTGTTGGGCACGTAGATATCTTTGTATGTCGCCTCGCCCACGAACGTCAAGAACGGCCAGTTTGCAAGAGCCATGTTCTGGATGTTGCTTCCTCTGAACAGCCGCACTGTCCATGCTGAGGGCTTGGGGGGAGCAGGTGCCTTGGAGCTGTCAGATCTGAGGTACCTCTTCACTCTGCCTGTGTCAGGCCCAATGTAGTGCGCAGCCATGTACGCTCCGCCGTAGTGCTGGAAGCCTGGAAGGAACATGGCGTGGGTCCCTGCCGAGAGCGAGATATCTCCGCATTTCTCCTGTGCTCCGTGGAGACCGTCGTTGTCAACGACCATCTTGCCGTCTACGTACATGAAGGAACCGTCGTCGGAAGTGGTACAGAACGTGTATGTGCCGGCCCTGGTGACGTCCAGGTTGCCGTAGATGGCCCACACGTAGTTGTATGACGGCGTCTTGGGAACGGCGCTACGGAAATCGTCGAGGTCGTGGAAATCGATGTATGGAGTTTTGCCTTCCTCAACAAAGTTCAAGAACGCAAGGTCAGGCGTGTACGTCAGCTCCTGGGTCTCAGCCTGATACATCCTCATGGTGAAGGACGAAGGTGGAGGCAGGTCAGGTAGCTTGCCCTTGGAGCTGCCCTTACTCATCATCAGCATCTCTCCTCCTCCTGTGTCTGGCCCAGCGTAGGTGATGCTCTGGTAGATCCCTCCCCCATGCTGGAAGCCTTCCACAGTGACGGAGTGAGATCCTGCCCGTAGCTGCGCATTCCCGCAAGCCCTAACAGCTCCATGGAGTCCGTTGTTCTCAACGAGCAAGTCGCCGTTGAGCAGCAGTCGGGACCCATCGTCCGACGTCGTGCACAAAGAGTAGGTCCCCGCAAACTCAACGTATAGCGACCCGTAGAAGATCCAGCTGTAGTCTGAGCTGGGTGTCTCAGCCACGTACTGACGAAGCTCTTCCAGGGAGTCGACGCGGACGGTCTCGATGTCCTTGGCGCTTCCAACGAAAGTGACCATGGGGGAGTCAGGGATGACCTGCCTCAGCTGTCAGATCGTCACCTCCACGCCCAGCAGAGCCCCACCACTAGAGGTCTGTTCGATCTGAAAACCCGCAGGGCCCAGTCAGACGCCGGAGGCTTTTCTGGCAGGTTCGCCTCGGCGTCCTCGCTCCTAAGGAGCATCTTGTTGCCCAGGGTGTCTTGGCCCCTTGTCAAGCGTCAGAGCAGCGCGACTAGTCGCCAAGCATGTATACCTCCAGAAGGCGTGCAGGACGAAGGCGCCCGTGTTAACAAACGCCTTGACTCGGATGCGCACAGTTCCCTTTGTGACGTCAAAAGGGCGGCAGATCTCTCTAGTGGTGTGCAAGCCGTTGTTGTCAACCACGAGGTTGTCCTCCACAAATAGCTGCGACCTGCGTACGTCTCTCACCTTACACATGAGCAGCTGCTACCAGACCGTACCCGTCAGATGATGCAGTGCAGAAGTCGTAGGTGCCTCCGTTCTGGACCAGGATGTTTCCGTAGAACTCCACCGCAAAGTTTGACGCAGGCACCCCTGCGAAGTACTGCAGCAACGTGAGCCACGCGACCAGCCGTACACACGCATAAGTAGGAGGACAAGGTACTGCACTGACCTTGCGGAGTGTCTCGATGCCCTGGAAGTTGATGTATGGAATAGTGGTGCTCCCAAGGTACTTCATGGCATACATGGATGGGATGCTCAAAAGGGTCCCAGTCGACTCATACACCCGCACAGTCCAGCTTGATCGTGGTCTCTTGACAGCACCTTCAATCTGCGCACCCGTCACTCGTCTGTGTGGGGACCCTTCCATCATCCGCCAACCTTGAGAGACTGTACGCGGTCGTTCCAGCCCTCCCAGACGAGACAGTCGACTTTTCGTGGGCCGACGTAGACGATCTTGTTACCTTCGAAGTACCTTTGATCGTACATGGTCACCTGGAGACAGGCCCCGTCAGCTTCATCATCAATCCCAAGGTCGAGATACCGAAAGTTTCTCCGGGATGTACAAGGAGGACAGTGAGTTTGCTTTCAGTCTGCAGTTATGCAAAGCACACATGTCTTGGTCGTTGTCGCACTCTCCATTGTTGAATACTTCCCATTCACCCTCCGGGAGGATTTGCTTCCATTCGGGGTCGTTGTTGGGATCTCCGCAGCTGCCCCCGAACACGACTTGATTCTTGTCAGTGCTGAGGTGAAACAGAAACGCACAGACGTCAGCAACGACGCTGAGCATACTCCCCTTCCCCGAGCTCACCTCGGCAAGCATGCATCCGGAGTGTAGCATTCTTCCCTCAACCGCCTCACGGTCTTGAAGCTCGAACGCACGTTCACCCTCATGCCCTGGACGAGCACAAGTCAGCCCCCGCACGGGCACGCCAAGATTAGGTCAGTAGAGGACTGCCGGATCAAGCCGTACCTGGAACTGATCGTTGAGCCCCCAGCAGCATAAGCCAACATCGTCGGCATGCGTACATCCTTCGCCTCCACAGGTCTTGGGACAGTCGCCCATGTCCTCCTCAGTACCTTTGCCTGTGTGGAGCATCACAACACGTCCGAGCCGCAGAGACGAGCCTTACAAGCTACACGCGACAGCCATATGGGACCTTTGCCACCACCTTTTCTCAGGAGCTTGCCTCCTTCTTCGAACCCGATGTTGCGGCAAACCAGGTCGGCGGTGATCTGAGTGAAGCCTACTCCACACACAGTTCCCCAGACCTGAGCAGGACGTCATTAGGCCTCACACAAGATAGGACGCGAGACTCACTCCATTGTATAGGGTCTCAAGGCGGCAGGCCGAGTAATCACAATCAACAAGGCGGGTGTAGAGGTTTCCACCGCCAGGGCAGAAGTATCTGCCAGGCTTCCAACTCTCACCGACAGGAGCTGTACAAAGTACTTGAGGATCTAGCACATCGTTGTTTTGCATGGGCATACCTTCTCCCTGAATGCCATCCGGACCCATCGGGCCACTAATTCCAGTGATTCCGGTGACACCGCTGAAGCCTCTGACGCCTGATGATGTATCACAACTAGATTGTTCTGCACGCAACCTCCTCACCTGCAGGTCCTGGAAGTCCTTCGATCCCAGGCTTGCCCATGGGTCCTGCGAGGCCCTGAGGACCCTTTGGTCCTTGGGGCCCTTCAATGCCGTCGGCACCATTAGCTCCCGGGGAGCCATTCATACCTGCGACAAGTCAGTCGATGCTCGATATCTTCCGCGTACAAGTTGTTTCATCATCTCTCTCTTCACTATCTGTAGCTTCATAAAGACTGCTTACCAGGCAAGCCGGGTGGACCTCTGCAACGCCGCCAAAAGAGCAAAGGAAGCAAACAAAGCACATTCAGCTCCTCATCACAGCACACTCTCTCAAAGCTCACTCTGGTCCTTGCACCAAGTGGTATGGAGCGCTGATGTCATCGGTCTCCTTTGTGTTGAGCTCTACTATCTCATCCTTCACGCCCGACACTGTGGACTTGACATACTCCGACAAATCCTTCTCCTGCTCATCAAGCTTCTCTGACATCTTGGCAGACTTCTTCAAGGCTTCCATGAGCCTGAAGTCAACATGAGCCAAGCATGCTCTTGGTGAGACACAATCAGATAGAGGGGCTCACCTCTTCATCCTCCTCTTCGATATGCTTTCCTCCTGAAGGAACGACTCGGGAACGTCCGGAGACTGGTCCTCATCACTTACTCCTGCTTGCGTGGAGGGCATGTAGTTGATGCCTCCTGCCTGCCCGTAGCTTGGAGGAGCTGAGATCTCTCCTTGAGATGAGAGAATCTGCTGTGTGGCTGGCTCCCATAACGCCTGTCCTTGGCTTCCGCCTAGCTCATATTCTCCACTGTAAAGTTCGGATGGGGAAGTATGACGCAAGAGCGAGCGGGGAGAGGCGAGAGCGATGAAGACGATCATGGCAGCGAGGCCACCTATGGCCAAGTAGCTATATGCTCTGCTACCTCGAGCCGTCTGTGCCGTCTCCTCCGGCGCGGAAGGAAGTCTGTCTTCCTCTCCCCGCGCCATGGGCGGCGGCACTGTGAAGGGTCGATCCCAAGAGTCAGACCCAAAGAATTAAGTCAAAACAATCAACTGTACCCCCCACCCCCTTTGTGACCCTGGATGCCCTTGACCGGTGATGGGAAACTCAAAAGAATATTCAGTTCAAATGGTCTCTGTAAAGTTCAAATGAACAAAAAGATATTCAATGATTTTTCTTGTTTGTTGCGTCAGAGAGTTCCGAAGTTGAATTTGAGTGTTCGCCTTGTACACAAACAATTAAAAAGTGAGGTTCAGATTTCGGCTCATGTTTACAATATATAAATGAATATATCAAATATTTTGGGAAATGCTTTGGATTTGTTTCCCAAAATGCGATATTGTTTTATGCAAGAAAATTTTGCTTTATCAGTACAGTTTGTAGATATATAATTAATCTTTAAATAGTACGACTTTATATATAAATGAAGTTGAGTATATTTCTGTGGTAGTACAACTGCTGCTTGCGAAAAATAAAAAATACGGTAATAAATACCGAGTCTGCCTCAGAGACGTTTCCGGTCTTCCAGAATGCAGCGGCGGCAGGTGCAGGAGCACAACGCCCAGCATGCCTGTGCAGGGTGAGATCACAATGCAAGATTAAGCAAGAGTATCTTTCAACATGTTCATCTCGACAACGTGATAACTTCTGGCCTGATTCACAAGACTTACGTTGGTATTTGAGATCACCCTTGTACACCTTACAAGGATTCTTGCAACCAGGGCCCCACCGTGTGTATGTCTTCTCAAGAAGATGAACTTTTTGGCCTGCAGAAGTGACTTCTCAAGTCATTAAGACTGTTGCCATGACTGTTCAACAAGATTCTGTTTTATCCAGGAGAAAGTCAAGGGATGGATGGAGCAGCGTGGTCAGCATGAATCAGGTTTCAACTTGGAATTGAAAGTTTCAGGAAGGTGAATCGCACCAATCACATGAGTAATCAACTCATAATGGAAGCAATGACAGCCATTGCCATGTCATCGGAAACGAATACTCGTTCTGAACGGTTTGTTGTCAGGTTGTCGGAGTGCAGATAGGTTTTTGATCAGAGAGTGCAAGCCGCCAGCAGAATGGAAGACTGCAGGCGAAAACCAGACGGATGTGTGAGCTGTGGTAGATGGATTGAACAAATCTCCAGTCTTCGAAGCAGAATGCATGGATATCCAAGAATGCAGCACCGATACCACATCGGGATGAGATTGACACATCACGAAAGAGTGTGGAATGAAATGTAGATTTGAACATTATGAATTAATGTAGAATGAAATGTGAGATTGATACATTATGAAAGAATGCAGAAGGAACTGTGTGATTGATACGTTATGCAAGTACGTGGAATGAATGTAAAATGTGCATCTGGTGTTTGGGTGGTTGTCACAATATTGCCCTGTCACCAGTCTTGATCTCTTTAGGTGGCTCAAATACATTGTTCAATTGTTGGTGGAATGTTTGATTTTGGGATGTTCTGATTGTTTGTTTCAAACCTTGTCTATCACTTGTTTCATACCATGGTCATGATTAATTACCACTCAACAACAAATGATTGATTTGGAGCATCTATTCAAACCGAGTAGTAGTTAGGGAGGAGTCTCTCCTTGATCACAAATTCCTTCATGATGGAGGGAAAGTAGTTCAATTGTTTGAAAATTAAGGGCATCCTTTGAAATATGCTATGATATACATTCAGGCACCTTTATCACCATGTTCTAAGTTGGTGATAATCTCACGTTTACCTCTTTAACGGTTCACTCAATCTTGTCCTTCTCACAACTTACACTTCACAGCCTTACAAACATTACCATTCGCCACTTGATCATCTTGGTGTTTGTAAGTGTCTAATCACATGCAAGGTCACGTTCCCTTCCTCTGCCCGCATTGCAGCATCTGCGGGACAAGTGAACAATCATTATATTTATATTACTCATTCGTACAGAAAATTGTACCTTGCTACCGGGGTAAAACTAAATTTAAGTAGATATTTGTACTGAACATTTTAGCTTACCAAGCATTCTGTAGACAAGCAGACGGTCAACGATAGGAGCAAGAGGGGGTAGGGGGTACCTTGTTGAGTAAAATCCAGGAGCCTGCTATCGAAGAGACACTTCGGTGCGCTACCGCCATGGCGCGGGGAGTGGAGGACGGACTCCCTTCCGCGCCGGAGGAGGAGGAGGAGGCGCGGAACAGGTGTCGAGGTAGCAGAGCATACAGCTACCTGGCCATAGGTGGCCTCGCTGCCATGATCGTCTTCATCGCTCTCGCCTCTCCCCGCTCGCTCTTGCGTCATACTTCCCCATCCGAACTTTACAGTGGAGAATATGAGCTAGGCGGAAGCCAAGGACAGGCGTTATGGGAGCCAGCCACACAGCAGATTCTCTCATCTCAAGGAGAGATCTCAGCTCCTCCAAGCTACGGGCAGGCAGGAGGCATCAACTACATGCCCTCCACGCAAGCAGGAGTAAGCGACAAGGACCAGTCTCCGGACATACCGCAGTCGTTCCTTCAGGAGGAAAGCATATCGAAGAGGAGGATGAAGAGGTGAGCCCCTCTATCTGATTGTGTCTCACCAAGAGCATGCTTGGCTCATGTTGACTTCAGGCTCATGGAAGCCTTGAAGAAGTCTGCCAAGATGTCAGAGAAGCTTGATGAGCAGGAGAAGGATTTGTCGGAGTATGTCAAGTCCACAGTGTCGGGCGTGAAGGATGAGATAGTAGAGCTCAACACAAAGGAGACCGATGACATCAGCGCTCCATACCACTTGGTGAAAGGACCAGAGTGAGCTTTGAGAGAGTGTGCTGTGATGAGGAGCTGAATGTGCTTTGTTTGCTTCCTTTGCTCTTTTGGCGGCGTTGCAGAGGTCCACCCGGCTTGCCTGGTAAGCAGTCTTTATGAAGCTACAGATAGTGAAGAGAGAGATGATGAAACGACTTGTACGCGGAAGATATCGAGCAGCGACTGACTTGTCGCAGGTTTGAATGGGGTTCCGGGGCTCAACGGTGCGGACGGAGCTCCTGGTCCTCAAGGGCCAGTGGGCCCCCAGGGTTTCTCGGGGGCGATTGGAGTTCCTGGACACGAAGGGAAGAAAGGACTTCCAGGTGAGGAGGTTGCGTGCAGAACAATCTAGTTGTGATACATCATCAGGGGCCAGAGGGCCTATTGGTGTGACGGGTATCCCGGGCATGACCGGCCCGATGGGTCCGGATGGCGTTCAGGGAGGAGGTATGCCCATGCAAAACAACGATGTGCTAGATCCTCAAGTACGTTGTACAGTTTCACTAGCTGATAGCTGGAATCCTGGCCGATACTTCTGTCCCAGTGGTGGAAACCTCTACACCCGCCTTGTTGATTGTGATTACTCGTCCTGCCGCCTTGAGACCCTATACAATGGAGTGAGTCTCGCGTCCTATCTTGTGTGAGGCCTAATGACGTCCTGCTCAGGTCTGGGGAACTGTGTGTGGAGTAGGCTTCACTCAGATCACCGCCGACGTGGTTTGCAGAAACATCGGGTTCGAAGAAGGAGGCAAGGCTCGTAGGAAGGGTGGAGGCCAAGGTCCCATATGGCTGTCGCGTGTAGCTTGTAAGGCTCGTCTCTGCGGCTCGGACGTGTTGTGATGCTCCACACAGGCAAAGGTACTGAGGAGGACATGGGCGACTGTCCCAAGACCTGTGGAGGCGAAGGATGTACGCATGCCGACGATGTTGGCTTATGCTGCTGGGGGCTCAACGATCAGTTCCAGGTACGGCTTGATCCGGCAGTCCTCTACTGACCTAATCTTGGCGTGCCCGTGCGGGGGCTGACTTGTGCTCGTCCAGGGCATGAGGGTGAACGTGCGGTCGAGCTTCAAGACCGTGAGGCGGTTGAGGGAAGAATGCTACACTCCGGATGCATGCTTGCCGAGGTGAGCTCGGGGAAGGGGAGTATGCTCAGCGTCGTTGCTGACGTCTGTGCGTTTCTGTTTCACCTCAGCACTGACAAGAATCAAGTCGTGTTCGGGGGCAGCTGCGGAGATCCCAACAACGACCCCGAATGGAAGCAAATCCTCCCGGAGGGTGAATGGGCAAGATTTAGCAACAATGAGTGCGACAACGACCAAGACATGTGTGCTTTGCATAACTGCAGACTGAGAGCAAACTCACTGTCCTCCTTGTACATCCCGGAGAAACTTTCGGTATCTCGACCTTGGGATTGATGATGAAGCTGACGGGGCCTGTCTCCAGGTGACCATGTACGATCAAAGGTACTTCGAAGGTAACAAGATCGTCTACGTCGGCCCACGAAAAGTCGACTGTCTCGTCTGGGAGGGCTGGAACGACCGCGTACAGTCTCTCAAGGTTGGCGGATGATCGAAGAGTCTCCACACAGACGAGTGACGGGTGCGCAGATTGAAGGTGCTGTCAAGAGACCACGATCAAGCTGGACTGTGCGGGTGTATCAGTCGACTGGGCCCCTTCTCAACGTCCCATCCATGTACGCCATGAGGTACCTTGGGAGCACCACTATTCCATACATCAACTTCCAGGGCACCGAGACACTCCGCAAGGTCAGTGCAGTACCTTGTCCTCCTACTTATGCGTGTGTACGGCTGGTCGCGTGGCTCACGTTGCTGCAGTACTTCGCAGGGGTGCCTGCGTCAAACTTTGCGGTGGAGTTCTACGGAAACATCCTGGTCCAGAACGGAGGCACCTACGACTTCTGCACTGCATCATCGGACGGGTACGGTCTGGTAGCAGCTGCTCATGTGTAAGGTGAGAGACGTACGCAGGTCGCAGCTATTTGTGGAGGACAACCTCGTGGTTGACAACAACGGCTTGCACGGCTCCAGAGAGATCTGCCGCTCGTCGTACGTCAACAAAGGCCTTGTTCACATCCGAGTCAAGGCGTTTGTTAACACGGGCGCCTTCGTCCTGCACGCCTTCTGGAGGTATACATGCTTGGCGACTAGTCGCGCTGCTCTGACGCTTGACAAGGGGCCAAGACACCCTGGGCAACAAGATGCTCCTTAGGAGCGAGGACGCCGAGGCGAACCTGCCAGACAGGCCTCCGGCGTCTGACTGGGCCCTGCGGGTTTTCAGATCGAACAGACCTCTAGTGGTGGGGCTCTGCTGGGCGTGGAGGTGACGATCTGACAGCTGAGGCAGGCGATCCCCGACTCCATCATGGTCACTGCAGTCGGAAGCGCCAAGGACATCGAGACCGTCGGGGTCAGCTCACTGGAAGAGCTTCGTCAGTACGTGTCTGAGACGCCCAGCTCAGACTACAGCTGGATCTTCTACGGGTCGCTATACGTTGAGTTTGCGGGGACCTACTCTTTGTGCACGACGTCGGACGATGGGTCCCGACTGCTGCTCAACGGCGAATTGATCGTTGAGAACAATGGACTCCATGGAGCTGTTAGGGCTTGCGGGAATGCGCAGCTACGGGCAGGATCTCACTCCGTCACTGTGGAAGGCTTCCAGCATGGGGGAGGGATCTACCAGAGCATCACCTACGCTGGGCCAGACACAGGAGGAGGAGAGATTCTGATGATGAGTAAGGGCAGCTCCAAGGGCAAGCTACCTGACCTGCCTCCACCTTCGTCCTTCACCATGAGGATGTATCAGGCTGAGATCCAGGAGCTGACGTACACGCCTGACCTTGCGTTCTTGAACTTTGTTGAGGAAGGCAAAACTCCATACATCGACTACCACGACCTCGACGATTTCCGCAGTACCGTTCCCAAGACGCCGTCATACAACTACGTGTGGGCCATCTACGGCAACCTGGACGTCACCAGGGCCGGCACATACACGTTCTGTACCACGTCCGACGACGGATCCTTCATGTACGTAGACGGCAAGATGGTCGTTAACAACGACGGTCTCCACGGAGCACAGGAGAGATGCGGAGATATCTCGCTCTCGACAGGGACCCACGCCATGTTCCTTCCAGGCTTCCAGCACTACGGCGGAGCGTACATGGCTGCGCACTACATTGGGCCTGACACAGGCAGAGTGAAGAGGTACCTCAGATCTGACAGCTCCAAGGCACCTGCTCCCCCCAAGCCCTCAGCATGGACAGTGCGGCTGTTCAGAGGAAGCAACATCCAGAACATGGCTCTTGCAAACTGGCAGTTCTTGACGTTCGTGGGCGAGGCGACATACAGAGATATCTACGTGCCCAACAACGGAGAGTTTGTGAGGATGATTCCTGGCATGCCAGACAACAACTTTGTGTGGGTGTACTACGGAACCGTCAAGATCAACGCTCCTGGCATCTACTCTTTCTGTTCGACCTCTGATGACGGCTCATACCTCTTCGTCGATGACAACCTCATCGTCAACAACGATGGCTTGCACGGGGCCGACAGGAGATGTGGAAGTGTCAAGCTGAACCCAGGAGATCACCAGGTTCGCGTTGAAGGCTTCAACCATTGGGGAGAGGCTTATCAGAGCGCGTCCTACTCCGGCCCGGACACTGGGGACCAGTACCGGCACATGGTCAGCTTGCCGACGGCTGCCCCACCTCTCCCTCCTCCCTCCGAGTGGACCATCCGGATGTACTCCACCAACTACGAACTCCATCACGTTCCGGATGTCTCGCACATGTCGTACGTCGGGGGGGCCAAGATTTCCTACATCCAGTTCAGCACCCTTGGAGAGCTGAGAAATTGGGTCCCGAACACGCCTGATTCCAAGTACGCATGGCAGGTGTACGGAAAAGTGCGTGTGATCATTGCAGGCACCTATACCTTCTGCTCTACTTCTGATGATGGTTCAATTGTCTACTTTGGCAACCAACAAGTTGTCAACAACGACGGGCTGCATGGGGGTGTGAAGGTTTGCGGTTCCATCAACCTTCAAGCTGGGGACCACGACGTGGTGCTGGTGGGCTTCCAGAACTACGGAGGAGTGTACCAGGACTTCACGTACAGCGGGCCGGACACCAGAGGGGCAGAGAGGCGTGTCAGAAGTGTCTCGGCAGCTGCACCTGCGAGTACTGCAGGCACTTCTGGGCAGTTTGGCAGGTGGCCTCCGAACTGATCAGCAGTGTACTTGCCGCTGCCGCGGTGCAACTTCGAATCAGTTATGCCTCACTGATTGATGATTTTTCATTCTCCTCACTTTGGGTTTGCGCTTTATTAACAACGAGATGCGGGGGTTGAGTTAGGCGGGCCGTGATCGAGTTGAAGTGAATGAGCGAGACCTTATTTCTTGTGACCTAGAGTTTTGATATTGAAAGCTTTTACTTCCAGTTTCACCGAGTGATTCCCCCCTCGCAAGTCCGAGGCCCGGCCTGAGTGTTGCCCGGCTCGGCCCGCCGGAACTGCAGTGGCAGTGAGAGTTCCGATCCCGGCGAATTATAATTTTGAGCAATCCGTGTTTCAGTACCAGTGACTTTTATATTGAAGTACGGTGACTGTAAACTTCAGATATCACTTGGGTACAACACATAGAACCATGATGGTACAGAATCGGAATATGAAATATTTTATTTTGTACCTTTTTGATACTGTATCGGAAATATTTCATACTAAGGTACCGAGAAGGCCTGTTCACTAAAACATTTTGTTGAAATATTTGTACTGAACTAAAAGTAATGTAAATCTATGTACTATTATATGAGTTATACGGATCTCCATACAGGAAGGTTTTAATCTAAAAACCCCAAAAAGGTAATTGTAAATTCGTGCGGAATGTACAGGAATGGTGTACATGTCTGTGCGGGAGCGAGGGGGTAGGAGGAGACAGAGGAAGGAGGAGGAGGGGACTAGGAGAGTAACTCCACCTGCCATGACGGTGAGGGCGATTGCAGAGCAAGAAGGAAGCTGGTGAGAACGGTGGAGATGAAGGGGAGAGGAACACAGGCGCATGGGCTCAAAAGGCAGGTGTTGGCATGTAGGAAGGGGAGACACTTGAAGGTGAGCGGGACAGTAGCAGGAGGTGGTGAATGAAGCTAGCAGATGTGCCAGGCTGTAGCAAGTCTGTCTCCTCCCTGGGCTCGGTCGACTCCGTGAAGTGTCGCCAGCACCATTGAACGCCATCGGCTGTGGGACGGACCTTGCTTAAAGCTCTACTGCGGCGATGCTGCTGCAATCCCATTGATGTGGTGATATGGCCATGGAAGCAAGCCTGCAGACTGCAAATGTCTTGATAGAAGACGCAGAGCAAGACAAGAACATCTTGCTGTGGGCCAGGGAGGAACCTAGTGAGGCTTTCGGCGGCGAAGCACTTGATGACGGCAAGGCCCTGGTGGGTCTGCGTGCCGACCCAGCCTCCGAGAACTGGGAGGACGACTTCGACTTTGACTCACCTTCCTGCGATGCGTTTCCTGCTCCTCCTCAGGCTGACAGGTTGAAGAGCAAGAGCAAGCTCAAGGCCCACAACCAGAGCAGCCTTGGAGCACCGGAGCGCAACAACTTGGAGGAGCTGCTCAAAGTCTTGCCGGACCTGTCGATCGATGCTAACTGTCTTGATGACTTGTGCCGTCTGTTCTCCAGCTCAAACTCAGGTCTCTTCACCGTCAAAACTCTTTTGAAGGACGTCCAATCCATGTACAACTCATTCCATGATAAATATGTGGTCGAGAAATTCAACGGCAAATCGAGAACGAGGATCGAGGACCTCGAACAGAATCTTACAGACGCCATGGAAAGTAAGTGTTTACAAGCAGAGCTCTCGGCCTGTCTTGAGCTTGCCCGGACATATCGTGCCAAGTCCCAACAGGGGGCAGCGATGTTGAAGTTGCAACGTGCGCAGACGGCATTGCAGACCGCCGAGCAGAACTTGACGGGCGAAGAGGGCAGCGAAGCTTCCGGAGAGCTGATCACGGAGGCTCACATCCTTCATGAGATGGCCATCACGGCCAGGAAGATACAGGATCTGAACGCGGCGAAAGCTTACCTGGAACGTGCCTTCTTCTCGATCTCGTCCTCCAAGAGCCTGTCTCCGCTGTGGTCACCGTTGTGGCTGCGGCTGCATGTTGACTCTGGCATCTTGGCTCTCTCTCTCGGCTCGACCAAGACTGCGTTATGGCACTTCTCTCAGTACCTTGCGGGCCTCGTTGCAAGGCAGCCTTCGCTGTCTGTAGATACGCTCGTCAAGTATGACTCAAACGACCAAACTGTGAAATATTATGAGGAGCTGTTCATGGGATGTTTCTTTGTCGGAGCCACGTTGCAATGCTCGATGGCGCCTGACTTGGCCTTGACCTTCATCAAGTACTCGATTGCCACCTATAAATTCATGGAGATGCAGAAGATTGAAAACGCCCCAAGAAAGCTGAAGGTTGTTATTTGCTGGTACAAGGAAGCAATGTACACGTCTCAGGCTACGCACGATTGCCCGTCAGTGAATGAGGATGACAGCCTGTACTTGTCTGAAGACGAGGAGAACGCTGATGTGGATTTTGACGAGCAGATGGACGATTTCGGGTCCAACGAGGGGAAGCAGAACGAGGATCAGGCGGAGAAGTCGGTGGAGGAGGATGATGAGTTCGATGAGGAGGACGAGGATTGGGACAGAGAGCTTGAGATTGAGGCCATGCTGAGGGGAGAAACCTCTGAGAGCATCTCAAGGGAGTCTTCGCGCTCGAGCCTGTTCACGGGCAGCAGGGCGTCGGAGAACATTGAGATGGGACTAGGTCAGTCAGGCGACTCCCTCCCTGAGAGGTGGGTGTTCTCAAAGACTCTGTCCGGCAAGTCTGTGAAGCCAGTCATCATCATGTACCCCAAGGTCAGCCCGCTGTACTCGATCAGATCCAAGAGGATCATGAGTGAGGCCGCTACCCAACAATGGCTCGAGGGACTGATCAAGAGCCAGAGGCAAAGTTACTTGCTCCACAGCCAGGCTGCTAACTACGAAGGGATCGACGAGAGGCTGAAGAACGCTGAGCGGTCCCTTCGGGATTGGACGATTCTGTGCGTTCAGTATTGCCACGTCCTGTTTCGATTGCCGGATGCCAGCCAACATTTCTGGAAGTATGCGGACATCTTCTTCAGAGGCGTCGCAGAGAGCAAGTTGATGCAGAGGGAGAGGGATTGGAAGACGACGGAGGCAGAGGACAAGCTCGTGTGGTTGGCTGTGATGCGAGCTTGCGAGTCAGTGACGTTGATGGCGTCCCAGCTGTGGACCAGCTCGTCCAAAAACGATTTCTTGCGCTTCCTTAAGATCTCTCGAGAGGTTTCGAGGAGGAAGAATGACTACTTCTACGACGTGATGGAGCTTGAGACGTTTGCGCACCATCGCTCCTCCGAGATGTTCTCCTCTGTCATCCCTGGTTTTTGCAGGATCTTCTTGAGCGCGATCAGGAGGGAGCGAGACGAGCCTCCCTCCAACGCAGATGCAGACACCACCGTCATCGAGTGGGGAGGAGAAGCCAGGCAGCTGGAGGACTGGGGGCGCCTGGAGAAGGGGAACCTGTCATCCGGCGAGATGGGTTGGACCAGCTTCGAGGCTCAGGCGGCGGCTCTGGCGGACATCCAACTGTGTCTCAAGGGCCGGTCGCCGATCACCGCAAGGGAGGTAGTGCACGACATGAAGGGGCACAAGCAGGAGAACCCTGTGGAGTGGCAGGATGGTGACGTGGACATGCCTGACATGGTCAGCCTCGACCGCCTCCTCCTCGACGAGGAGTACAGGATCAGCCTGCTAGCGGACATCTACCCCAAGACTCGACCCGACCTCTTCCTGCGTGCCAAGTGCGCCTTCGTCCTCGGCAACTTCTACCTTCAGCAGAAGGAAGGGGCAGGCAGGGTCAAGGCGGAGCAGCTCTTGCTGGAGAGCCTGTACATCCTTGACAACTGCGCTCAGCCCGTCCCAGGGATCAAGTTTCTTGTGTCGAGCTTGGGAGAGGTCGTGCTGCAGGCGTACGCTGCAGTCCTCCTCGAGAACAACAAGTACAAGTACGGAGTGCTGGCGCTGGAGGCAGCGGCGGAGTGTCAGAAGCTGAGGACGGGGGTAGAGCCCCAGCAGCTCTACCGGCAGCTGGCTATGGTCTGCACTGAGCATGGGGACTACGAGAGGAGCTTGAGGTACTACTCGATCGTGCTGGGGAAGGCGAGGCAAGACGGCAAGTCCAACGAGTTCATCTTTGTGAGCGAGAGGGTCTCGGACATCCTGGTAGAGCACGGGGACTTCGCGCAGGCTGAGCAGATCCTCCTTGCTGCGATCGCGTTCCTGCAGGAGGAGAGGAAGGACAAGAAGGACAGCAGCTCCCTCGAGGGCCTCCTCAACGCTGCCAACGACATGGAGCTGGAGTACCTGGCCAGCTACAAGAACCTTGACACCAGATTCCTCCGCATCCTGATGAAGCTGTCAAAGATCCACCTCGATGGGTACGAGACGGTCAAGGGGGTCCGCATCCTCAAGAAGCTCCTCTCCCGCTCCCTCCCCGCCAGCAAGAAGGCAAGCATCCAGGCCCTCCTCGCCACCGGGCACTACGAGCTCTGGCAGACAGCTGAGTGCGACGCCTGCCTGGCCTCTGCTGCCGCTGCGACGTCCTCGGGCTTTGCTGAGGTGCTGTCCGGGCCCGAGCTGTTCGCCATTACCCTCCTGGGGTGTAAAAATCTCCTCAGGTCAGGACGAGCCGTGGAGGCGCTCAAGAAGATAGACGAGGCGATAGCAGGGGAGACCCGCCTCAGCGGCATCGGCCAGCTCTTCCTCCTCCGTGGCAAGGTGCTGCAGACGCTGGCGTGCCGGTCGGAGGGGGACGCTAGTGTCCTGCCCTCCTTCTCTTCCACGCTGGATCTGTGGAGGGGGGCGGCTGAATCAATGCACATGGCCATGGACGCGTTCTCTCGCGTCGGGGATCGAAGCATGGAGTCTAAGGCCGCGTGCTGCTATGCTCAGGTGCGGCTGGACGCCATATGGTGCCCCTGCGTCCTGCTGAAGAAGCAGTGGGAGACGACGCTGTTCAAGACGGCACCGAAGGACTTCGTGTCGAGGAGCGCTCTCCACTCGCCCATGCTCGGGCCAGGGATGAGGAGGAGGGAGACAAAGTCTTCCATGGGGAGCAGCGGGAACATGAACACTCGGATGTCGGCAGCATCGAGGGCAAGCAGCATGGGCAGCAGCACCTCCCCGCACCTCAACGCCATCGACTCGGACCCCCTGTGCTCCATCGAGCGAGCTTCCATCTTCGGGCTCGAGGAGAACGCGGCGACGCTATCGGACATCATGACCCTCCTCCGGTCGCACCTCAACATGGCGGAGATCCGCTGGCTGCAGGGCAGGAGGAGCGCGGCCATGGCACACTTCCTCGAGTGCCGCGACCTCTTCTTCGGCCTCTTCGTCTCTCCAGCTGGGAACGTGCTGGTGTCGGACGGCCCCCTGGCGTTCACCAGGGCGATCCTGGGGATCCTGAACAGGATGGCGAGGTTTGTGCTTGTGTGGGATAAGGTGACCATCAACCACCACATCGCCATCTTCGACACGATCCTGAACCTCGAGGTCGACCTCGGGTTCTCGTCGTCGCACGGCATGGAGGAGGGCAGGGCGTCGGAGAACGGCAGGAGGGTGTGGTCGCTGCTGCATTCCATGCGCTGCATCGGAAGGTTGGGCAACAACAGGAGGCTAAGCAAGGAGGACGTACAGAGGAGAAACCTGAACACCCTCAGGAAGATCTGGAGGGTTTGTACGAGCTCGGCCACAGTAATCACTGCAAGCATGCGAGCCGACGCAGGGCAGCTGGAGCAGGCGGGCAGATCGCCATCGATGAAGCCCCTCCCTCTCCGACCTCCGCCTCCTCCATGCAACGTGCTGAACCTGTGCCTGGACTCTGACCTTGTGTCCCGTCACATCTACATCTTGTGCCTGATGGAACAGTTCTTGGCGATCTACAGCCCATACGCCGGCCTGCTAGAGGCACGGATCTTGGGGACGGGAGACAGCGGAGGAATGTTTGACCAGACGTCCCTTGCGGTGATAGGAGACTTTGTGCAAGGGCTGTCTTCCAGGAGGGAACTAGGTGGGCAGGCGATGGGTGGGAGCGAAGATCCAGCCAAGAAGGACGCGGCGAATCAGGTGGGCACTGTTTGCTGCTGCTGCTGCTGATGATGATGATGATGACAATGATGATGATGATGATGATGATGATGATGATGATGATCTAGTTTGAGCTCAGATTTGTTGGTAATGAAGCAGAGTGCTGAGTCTTGTAAATTCGACAAGAGGACTTATGGACTTGACACTAAGCTCCTATTTTGTTTACACACTTTGCGGATAATTTTCTGTTGCGAATCTTGTTATGCTTTCCCCTCCCTCTTCTCTTTTACTCTACTCTACTCTGCTCGCCTCGCCTCACCTGTCCTCCTCTTTCCTCTCCTCCCCCCTCCACACTGCCTGATCCCTGTGTCTCTCACTATCTCAATCACTGATCTTCTCCATTCTCGCCAGTTGCAGAGATCGGAACCTCTCAAATCTTGCGAGCTCGGAAAGATCCTTCTCAACTCCTTCAACCAGTTTCCCGCAGACTGGAAGTACGGATCGCAAGCAGCCAAGCTGAAGCAGGGGCAGCCTGGCGAGGCAACGCAGGGCTGCAGCAGGACGGCAAAGAGGAAGAGGAGCTGGCTGAAGAGAGGATGTTTCATGATGTTCAAGTCGCTCCAGACGGCGACGAAGCACAAGGAGGAGGAAGCGATCGTTCTCCCTCCTCCCCTCTTCATAGCCTGCAGCGCGCTCCTCCGCGCTATCCCGTGGGAGATAGTCTGCCAAGGGTTCACCGTCATGCGCTCCTTGGGCCTGCACCCGTTCCTGAGGTGCGACGTGGCGAAGGAGGAGAAGAGAGAGGAGGAGAAGGTGGGGCGGCAGGGCAGCACGCAGGCGGAGGAGAGGAGTCAAGGAATGTGCCTGGTCATCCCGCACAAGTCGAACTGGAGGAAGCAAGACTCGAATTTCTTCGAGAGGAAGAAGGTTGATCACTGAACAGCTCTCCTCCACTGTTGTCTTGCCTGGTCTCCTCTCCTCTCCTCTCCTCTCCTCTCCTCTCCTCTCCTCTCCTCTCCTCTCCTCTCCTCTCCTCTCCTCTCCTCTCCTCTCCTCTCCTCTCCTCTCCTCTCCTCGCCTCTCCTCTCCTCTCCTCTCCTCTCCTCTCCTCTCCTCTCCTCTCCTCTCCTCTCTCCTGTAGAATGTTTGACGCGTTGTCGTGACAGGGAGCACTAGGGAGAAATTGGCTAACAGCGATGCAGCAAGTAAAGCCCCCGTCTCCTCTCCCTCCCTCTCCCGCCTCCTGTCTGCTCCCCTCCTCTTCCACTACCGCCTTTTTCCTTCACCCTTCCTCCCCTTTCCTGTCTCTCCTCCTCCTCCTCTTATCACCTCCACCCGCCATGCTGATCCTTTCATGCAGAGACAGTGGGCGCCACCATGGGACGGAGGAGCAGGAGGAGGAGCAGGGGGAGCAGGGGGAGCAGGAGACGGACCTGACCGCCACAACGCCTTCGGCTCTCTGTTCATGCACGCTCCCATCGCGCAGCCCAGCAGGAAAATTTCCCAGCTGAGGAGGAAGTACCGGCTTCCTCCGAGCTTGCAGGCGCACGTTGTGTTTGTTGAGTCAGAGAAGATCGCGGCGTCCCCTCAGGAATTTGCGGTGAGAGAGGAGGAGAGGAGGATGGGACGGGGGAGGAGAAGGAAGTGCGATGGACGAGGACGATGCGGCGGCGGGGAGGAGAAGGAGCAGGAGCAGGAGCAGGAGCAGGAGCAGGAGCAGGAGCAGGAGCAGGAGCAGGAGCAGGAGCAGGAGCAGGGGCAGGGGCAGGGGCAGGGGCAGGAGCAGGAGCAGGAGCAGGGGGACGAGGACGAGGACGAGGGCGAGGAGAAGTGATAGTGTCGAGGTGTTTGATGCCGCCTGGCAGGTGAGTGTAGACAAGGAGGCAAGAGGACGGGAAGTATTCTTCCTCCTCCCCTACTTCGAGCTGCTCCGCTTCGCAAGTGTCTTGAGGTGACTGGACCCCCACCCCCCCAACCTCCTCCTCTCCTGGCCCCCCACCCCCCCAACCTCCTCCTCCTCCTCTCTCCTGTTCCTCTTCTCTTCTGTTCCTCTTCTCTTCTGTTCCTCTTCTCTTCTGTTCCTCTTCTCTCCTGTTCCTCTTCTCTTCTGTTCCTCTTCTCTTCTGTTCCTCTTCTCTTCTGTTCCTCTTCTCTTCTGTTCCTCTTCTCTTCTGTTCCTCTTCTCTTCTGTTCCTCTTCTCTTCTGTTCCTCTTCTCTTCTGTTCCTCTTCTCTTCTGTTCCTCTTCTCTTCTGTTCCTCTTCTCTTCTGTTCCTCTTCTCTTCTGTTCCTCTTCTCTTCTGTTCCTCTTCTCTTCTGTTCCTCTTCTCTTCTGTTCCTCTTCTCTTCTGCTCCTCCTCCTCCTCACCCCTTCCTAACAAACTTCTCTCATCGCTCTTCTCCCCTTCCCCATCATCTCCTCCTCCCGTCTGACCCGTGCACCAGCGACGCCCTGGCTATGAAAGGAGGATGTACCCTTATCTTCTGCCCTGACTACGCGATCAAACAGTTTGTAACTACGTTGCAGAAGAATTTACAAGAGAGGTGGGAAATGCTCCTCCTCCTCCT